TTAAATATCACAATGAACGTTAATGTCAAGAATATAAACTTCTGTTCACTCACCACCAGAGATCGCTCTTCCATTACATTGACTCTCACACTACACAGACTGTTACACTATACCGTGGACTACATTTCCCATCATCCATTGCACTGATTGCACACAGCAGTAACCAATCACAAGCTCACCTGAAAGCTACCAATAACACACACTATATAAATCAGTCTCACACCACCATTCAACGCCGAGTATTGTATGCGCATAACGCTAGTCAGTGATAGGTACGTTACGGAGTCATTTCATTAGCCATTGTTTATTTCCAAGTCCTAGTCTTAGTCTAGTTTTGCCTTGCCTGTTTTCCGGTCCTATGACTATTGCTCTTGCTTACAGATTACCCCTTTTGTCAAGCCCTCTGGATTACGTTCGCTGAGCGATGACCCACGCCTGGCGCCTGCCCTAGGAATACTCTTTGCCTTGCCTCATTCATGTCTGTTTATTGACCCATGCCTGTTTGTGACCACGCCTGTGAATAAAGCTCTGCATATGGATCCGCACGCTTCCTCTGTTCTCTCCGTAACAGTTAAATACTCCAAAACAATAAAAATTGCACTTAAAGGTTTGATATGCCCTTGTGAAAAAGAAGTACATTTAAAAAGAGTAGGCTACTTATTACACACAAAAGAATATATTTAAGGTGAACTGAATGTTTTCGGACACATGCTTGCAGGTTATTTACAATTAGATGAAACCTGGGTCAAAAAAAGCACTCTCAAGTTCAAATATGTTCAAATAATCCAAAATGACTTCTTTTGTCTTTGAAATACGATTAAAGTGTACTGCTGAATGTATGGAGAAGCATTTATGATAAACTAAAATATACTTTGTCATTTCTTTTTAAACTCGTATGTCATGTATTTAAATATATTTCACACATTAAATATATAATCACACATTTGTATAATGAAGTTGCAAATTAGTCCATTTAAAAATATATTAACTTTAAATGTACTATAAAATAACACGCACAGTAAAAACTATAATAAAATACTTTACATGTGCTTTAGTATGTTAGTCAGCACATCAGAATAAGTGTACTGCTTTAAAGCATGACAAAAGCTTATTAAAACATCATTTGAAATAACTTGTAATTTGAAACTGGTTTTAAGTATTTAGAAACAGCAATGAAAGTGTCTTTTTGTTAAGTGCCCTTTTATTTCATTAATATTGTATCTGCAAGTACAGTTTTTAAAAATATACTTTTAAGATTTGAAGTGCACTACAAGTGCACAGTTAAGCACACTTCTTTTTCACAAGAGTGTATATCTAGAATACATCTAAAGATCTAGACGAACAGTGCAACTGGAGCACAGAAATAAAGTCAAAGAGTAAAACAGTAAGAAAGCTGCGGCTCGTCTGCTGTTTGTCATCGCGGAGCTAATGAACTCAACACCTTCTGTTCAACACTGACAAACAATTCATGGCTTTCAGGAGGAAAAAAAACATCATTTATACACTGTCATATGTGTCATTTATTTTATATGTAGTATATTTCTGCATACTAATATAAACCCAGATTGACACAGATTAGAATTAAAGGCCAGCGATTAAGAGAATTACATAATTAATGTACTGTGATGCTCAAAGCTGCGTGTTTACTCCAAAAATCTTCTCAGCAACATTGAAATCACCACAGGAGCTGCTTTGTATAGAGGTCAGTGGATTTTATGTCTCAGTTGCTTCTCCTAGACAGCAGTGAGATCAAATGAAGAGTAAACGGAGTCTCAAACTGGGCTCACATTTATCCAAAGTACCAAAAAAGTCTGCGATGAATATTCAGAGATCTCAATATGAACTCAATCACCTTTTGCCAGGAGCTTGATTGACAGGCCATCTGACCAATCATAACGCTGAATCTGCCAGGGCGGGTCTTTGCGAAGGGATCTAAGCAGCTATAAAGGTTCATTTTACAGCATTAATTTAATGATTTGACTGAGAACTCATGAGCTAGAATCAGCAGTAGTTTGCTCCTGTGGGATGCTGTATCAGATGTGATTACAGTATGCGATATCACCGCTGAATAAACACACCAACCCTTCACATGCCACTGGAAATCCACAAGACATCTATATGCTGGACGAGAACAGAGCTCTAAAGTCTCACCCAGGTGTGCAAAATCACTGCAGACCTCCTTATGGCCAACAGGATGTGATGTCATGCTGTAGGGCAACAACAAAAACAAATAATTCATTCAAAGTATTAAAATGTTTGTGTTCTCTGGACAGCTTTAGATCATCTATTTCTATGACATATCTCAATTAAATACATGCTTCTGGTTTTATTTTACATGAGATTTTAAAAAAATGTGATAGTCCTTTATCAAAAGACTCGTTAAAAATCCATCCCTTCCAATAAATAAATAATACAAAATAAATTAAAAAAAATTCTGATTTGGCCAATACAGCAAAGAGAAGTGGGGAATACAAGGACAAATATATCCTCATTAAGAAAAAATAAAGGATAAATACAAATTTTGTTGTGTTTAGAGAAATGCGCAGAACGACATTACTTATTATACATTATTTATTATAATTACATTATTTGATTCATAAAATATTTTAAATGAATTGAAAGTGAGAATCAGTATTGCTTTTGTTACCGAGACGTCATTTTGTATAAAACACCCAGGTTCTGTATAAAAAAATAAAATCACCGTCACACAGTTTTAAGTTAACTACAAAAACCACTTTATTGAAAAAGCAGATTACATAAATCTACGGTTAAATGATACGTCCCGACTTTTCATACATTAAATAACTTTAAACTTTTCACGTTTAGATAAATAAATCTAAATTGCTTTTTCTTTATTTATGAAATATCTAGGAAATCAAAACATTGTACGATAAAAAAAGTGATGCAACCGAACGCAAGATGTGCATTTTTTTTAAAGAACTAACTGAAGGAAAGCTACCCTTCATTGAATCTCTGATAAATGCAGGAAATACATTCTACACTCGTTATTTACAGGCACGCTAGCATTGTGCTTATGCAATAGTAGTATGTTTTAAAAGTGGATTAAGACAACGTGGAGAAAAATATTACACTTGTTTAAAAAACAACAAAACAACACACTTGTGGGAATGATCTGAAAGTGGGAAAAATCTGAGGTTACAGAACTGTTCAAAGAAATTAGAGAAGAGGAGAAGAGAATATTCAATATTCACACTGTCGATTACCACAGAAAATACCTCAGTTGTGAGAAACGAGTAGAAATTATTTTCTCTGGCAGTCGACGGCATGTCACAGACGCTGTACATTAATCCAGAGTATTCCTTTCGCTAAATCTCCGGGAAACCTCCTTCTCCAAAAACAAGGTCAGGATGACGTTATGTGCTTCTGGTACAGTAATCAGTCAGCAAACACACATCTTCATGAGTTTTACAGTCTGCAAAGCCACTGGATTTAGAAAACAACTCTCTCTATCAGGACTTCTCAGGCCAGGGAAACACATACAGCCCGTTTCTGTCAGTAGTATTACAGCATGTACAGCGACCCGAGAAGCATTTAAGACGCTTAAAGGAACAGTGCAGCCAAAAATGAAAATGTGCTGAAAATGTGCTCACCCTCAGGCCATCCAAGATGTAGATGAGTTTGTTTCTTCATCAGATTTGGAGAAATGTAGCATTGCATCACTTGCTCTGCAGTGGATCCTTTGCTGTGAATGGGTGCCGTCAGAATGAGAGTCCAAACAGCTGATAAAAACATCACAATAATCCACACCACTCCAGTCCATCTGTTAACATCTGGAGAAGCCAAAAGCTGTGTGTTTGTAAGAAATGAATACATCAAGATGTTTTTAACGTCCGGCTAAAATACAAGTCCATAATCCATAATAACACTTTGTCCCGTGAAAAAGACATCTCATCTGAATCAGGAGAGAAACCTGCACAGATCAAGCCAAAACAAATATGTGGCTGGATTTTGATGTGAGAGACAACAGGAGATGCACTTTTTCACTGAAAGAAGCATTATTATTAATGGATTATGGGCTCATATTTTAGCCAGAAGCATCGGCTTAAAGTTCAAACGTCTTTATGGATTTTTTTAAGACGTTAACTGATGGACTGGAGTGCTGTGGATTATTGTAAATGCTGGCAGGGAAAGAGTTAAGGGCATTATTTTGTATTACAAGTTTTCTGAAATGTTATGCTTAAATATGCAAAAGACGCATTATTAAATACACTGCAAAAAATGAATTTCTTACTTAGTATTTTTGTCGTTTTCTAGTACAAATATGTAAACATTCTTAAATCAAGATACATTTAACTGAGAAGATATTAAGTCTTGTTTTCTGAAAAATGTATCAAAATTAAGTGAGTTTTTTCTTAAAACGAGAAAAAATATCTGAAAAATAATCTTGTTTTTCCTTTGAATCAAGATTATTTTTCTGATCCCATTGGCATTTTTTTGTTTTGTTTTAAGCAAAAACTAACAAAATTTTGATACATTTAAAAAAAAAAAAACAAGACTCAAGTAAATTTGCTTTAAAAATGTTTAGATATTTGTACGTGAATGAAAACAAGACAAAAACATTTTTTGCAGAGTAAAAATTAGAATTTTTTATTAAAATTAAGTATTAGATATGCACTACATTTTCAGAACAGAAATACGAACATCGGTTCAAAATTTTGCTGGTCTATTTTCACAAAGGGGTTTTTGGATTTCTCTTTTGTTTCAATAAATTAGAAAATACTGTCAGAAAAGAAGGGATTAAAAAAAAATATATATATATATATATATATATATATATATATATATATCAGGTGAATCATATATGAACAAACCAGAATATATATAAGAATAAAACTCTAAAGTTTGGTGTAAATACTGCTGAAGTGGAGAAAATGGAATTGAAAGTTACAGTTGCAAATAGCTAAAGTGTAATAAAATAAACACTTAAATGTGTATTTTAGAGGATATCTAAAAAAAGACTTAAATAGCCCAAAATCTCAAAACTTACCTATGCATGCAACAGTTTTAGTAATTTTACTAAATGTCTTCCACGAAAGAAAAGCTCATACGGGTTTAGAATGACATGAAGGTGAGTAAATGCTCATTATAATTAGATGAACTGTCCCTTTAAAGACCCCCGGCTGCTTGGCACAAATATCTGGCACAAGACAGAAATGGTGCGTCTTGAAGGCAGTGACGGCCTGTTCGACGCAGGATTTCCGAAGAAGGCACAGGAGGAAGTCGTATCTCAGTCTGTGTGTTCAGTGCTGTTGTTTGGCGTTCGGGAGGAAAAGCAGGCACAGGTCGCCCTGCGCTCCCCTGCGGCAGTGCTGAAGACCCCAAACAGAGCCCAAAACCCTCCATACCGTGATGAGGGATCAAAGTAATAAAAGCCTCCCCGGTTGGTCAGATAAACCCCAAACTAGTGGAAATACAGGCACGACCGAACCCCTGTTTACTGTTTAGG